TCTCCTCTCTGGATGCAGCTGTGCAAGGAGAAGGAGAATCTGAACGATGAGATCTACTGCCAGGTCATCAAGCAGGTCACCCACAACCCTCACCAGTGAGTAGCAGCACTGCCAGCTCCTCTGWGTGCACAGCTGGGCCAGGGGTGTCCCCTCATGATGTGCTGTCCCCAGCTGCTCCAGTGCTGAAGCTCCTGCTGAGCACTCAGGAAATTTTGCCATTCATGGGGTTTGGCGTTTTCACTGTCGTGGATATTTGTCCTTGCATTCCTGGCTGCTGATCTGTCTGGAACATTCCTGGCAGCTCCTGGTCGTGGTGCTACTCAGAGCCCTGATTTCCTCCTCCCAGCCTCGGGGAGCTGATAAAAACCAGTCMAGGACTGGCTTGGTCCCTCCCTGCCCTGTGAGATGGCAGCAGGGTGGCCTTGGCCCTTCCTTTGTTTGCTGTTGGAATAACCAAATCTATCGCTTGCCCAATACAAAAACACTCTGACCAATGCTGGCACCTCCTTTTTTCTCCACCTGCCAGAGCTCAGGAGGGCTCAGGCTCCCTTTGAGCTGCTCAGAGCAGGAATTGTCTGGTCCCAAGGTGCCCACAGTCCCTTCTGTTCCGCAGGGAGAGCGAGCTGCGGGGCTGGCTGCTCCTGAACCTGCTCACCGGSTACTTCCTGCCTTCCAAAGCCCTGCTGCCCTACGCCACCAAGTTCCTGCAGCTGGCCAGCAGTGATCCATCCAGCACCCACCACGGTACGACTGTCTGTGCCCTGTAAAGCAAATATTCCAGATCCAACCCCTCCATCCTGTCATTCCYTGTCCTGGACACTGCCCGTGGCTGGCTGCTCACAGTCTGGATGTGTCCTGGTGGGTGGGGAGGGGAGGTCAAGCCTCTTTGCTCTCCTAGCAGTGAYCWGGGGTTAAATTCAGGATGACCCAATACCACAGCACACGATGTTAATTCTCTTTGGGGCTCAGCACACAGAGCTTTTCCCTTTCTCTGCAGATATCGCCAAGATCTGCCAGAGCAACCTGAGGAAAAACTTCCTGTACGGGGGCCGTCGGCACCTGCCCTTCCCTGTGGAGATGGAGGCGCTGCTGGTACCGGGGGACAGAGGGACAGAGAGACAGAGGGACAGGGCTGGGAGGGGCCACGTGCAGGGTGACAGGGCAGGGGATGCTCCAGGAGAGGAGCTGAGGATGGAAGGGGTTTGGGAAGGGCAATGCCATGGGCTGGGCAGGGAAGAAGCAGGAGCTCTGGATGAGCAGAGGAAGGCAGGGATGAGGAAGAAGGGGGAGAAGGAAATGTGGGGCTGTGGGGCCCTGCCTGAGCMCTGTCCTTTGCAGAAGGGACATGGTGCCCGCCGGCTGGTGGTGCTGATGCCGGGAGGAGTGGAATACCTCACCAGGATCAGGACATTCACCGTGAGTTTCCAGCTGGGAATTCCTTCCTCCCCTGCCGTTTCCTGAGCCTCACCAGGGAAATCCCTTATCTGACCAGGAATGATGTGTCTACCTGCTCTTGGGCTTGCCTGGTCGTGGATTCCTCCCATGCATTTTCCTCTTTCCTTGCTTTAGGTGGCCAAGGAGCTCTTGCAGGAGATCTGTGAGCAGATGGGAGTCAGTGARCAGCAGGAGATCCAGGACTTTGTCCTCTTTGCTGTCAGGAGAGACAACAAAAATCTTGGCAAGTAGAGACCAGAATGGAGCTCCTCCCTCACAGCAGCCTCTGAGACAGGGAGCACCACAGCTCCTGCTTGGGATGGTTCCTCCACTCTTGCTGGCCCCTGGGAGGGTCCTCTGAAGCAGCTTCCCTTTGTGTTAGGGTTAAGGATTGATCCCTCTCAGGGGCTGTGTTTCCTGTTCCTGAAAGAGGCTCTGTGTCCCTTGGGAATGGCTGATGGTTGCAGTCCAAGGGCAGGGTTGAACTGAGGTGTGAGGGAGGCTCCAGCCCCAGCCCCGGCACCCAGAGGGATGGGTGACCCTGTCCCTGTGTCTTGCAGGTAAAATGGTGAGGCCAATCAAGCTGGAGGAGTATCTCCATGATTACCTGCTGGAGGACAGGCTGGTYACCGTCAGCCTGCGCAGGCTCATCTGGAGGACACCTCTGCACTTCGACAACCAAATCTACACMAATGTCCACTATGGGCAGGTGAGCAGGAGCAGGACCCTCTCCTGCAGGGACAGAGGTGGTGTCCAGGCCAACAGGAATGTCCCAAGGGGGCTCAAAAAGCAGGAGGGCTCTGGGTGATGGTCTTTGTGGCTGTTTCTGAGAGTGATTGAGCACTGAAATATGGGTAGCAGGAAGGCTCTGTGCTGTTCCACACACAGATGGTTCAGCTCTGCASGCTCTTCCCGAGCCCACAGAGCCTTGGTTTGGCATTTTCAGCAGGGCAGGAGGTGGGTCTGTGCAGCCTGGCACTGCCCAAAGCTGCTGTAGCCTGTGACAGCTCTAACAAAGGTGTCCCTGCTGTGCTGCCCCTCAGGTGCTGTGGGATTTCCTGAACGGGAGGATCCTGCTGACCCACTCTGCAGACACAGAGATGCAGGTGGCACTTCTGGCGATGCTCCAGCACTGGGCCAAGGCCGAGCAGCAGAGCTCTGCTCCCTCCAGGTATGTCTGGGGCACAGGGGGSACTCTCTGATGGCCACTGGCACCACAGGGGTAAGGAGCAGGTGCCTGGAAGTGCTGTCTGGATAATCAGGAAATGTCCAGAGGGTCATGAGGGTGCTGTGGGCGTTTCATTTGATTGCTGTGGGTTTGTAACACCAAGAGGGAAGTCCGTGAGCTCACAGTTTGGGGGAATCCTCCTTTGTTCTGTCTCTCAAGTGTCAGAGCTCCAACCCTGGACACCTGAAACACACAGTGAGATGCCCCCATGGGAATGAGATTGTCCCTGGATATTGGAAAGCTTCAGTCCTGCAGTTCCAGGCTGTGCTTTCCCACTCCCTCCTTTCTGTCTCCTTCTTCACTTTGACTCTGAGCTGAGGTACTGCCTCCATCAGATCCCCTAAAGCACCAGCAGCAGGGAAATGGGATAGCCCTGCTGGGCCCTGAGGAGCCCTTGCTGCCTCCAGAAAGGAGGGATTTCTGCCTGTRCCCTGGTCAGAGGTGCACAGGTGAATTCTCTGTGGTCTCACTGTCTCTGATGTTTCTCTCCACCTTACCCAATGCAGACGTGACCATTGTGCTCTTCCTCTCCCCCTCCACCCTTGTCCCCAGATATAAAACAGAAAATTGTTGTCCAGTTGTCCAGTCCCCTCCTTCCTCTTCATCCCCTGGTTGATGTTTGATTTTAGCTGGGGGCAGGGGGTGAATCAGAATCTGTTTTTTGGCACAGGGACGAGCTGAAGGAATACACTCCAAAGACCCTGCAGCCCTCCATCGACTCCAGGGCTCTGCAGAGCCATGTGGCCACACTGCTGAGAACAAGGCAGCCCCTCCAGCCCCAGGATGCAAAAATCCAGTTCATAGGTGAGGAGACAGCCAGATCTGCTTCAGTTTCTCTCCTGAGCATGGTGGAGGCTTCTCTGAATGCACTTTTGGGACAATTTGTGATATTTGGATTCTTGCCGCGTGGGATGGGCCATGACAATAGAATTCCCTGACAGCCTCTCCCTGTGGATTAGACCTTGTTCCCAAGCATGGTGGTCACAGTAGGAGTTCCCTCTCTTGTAGGAGTCTGCAGTGGATCTTCAGAGCTCTGCACAAGCTGTGTTTTAATTGACACTCTAACTGCACATCTGTTTTCTGGTCAGAAAAGGACAGCACATCCATTCAGGCTGCTGAGAACTGAGTCAGCAGCCCRGGAGGGAGGGAAGGAGGGAGAAGTTGTCAATCTTCCATTTTAATGTAGAAAAGCTTGGGAACACTGGCAGCTTTGGCCACCTGAGGCTGGTGCAGTAAATTACGGGCTGCAAGCTGCTGCCCTCAGGCCACCTTTTGCTTTCCTTTAGAGCACGTGATGGAATTGCCTTTCTTTGGCTACATCACCTTCGTGGTGGAGAGAATCAGCGATGCCACGGTCCCTGTGCCCTGTTTCTTTGGGGTTAACAAGGAGGAGATCATTGTGGTGGATGGCACCACCCAGGTACGCCAAACAGCTCCCCCGAGGTCTGTCAGATATTAACTTTGACTTTTAGAAGAACTTGAGCAGGAAGAGGCTGGACTTCAGCTGACAACAGCACTGGCCCAAAGCAAGATYGGTGCAGCAGTCATTGCTGCTCTAAGTCCAGTGTTCATGCTAACAAGAACAATCCACAGCAAAACTAAATGTGCGTCACATTCCTGTTTGTCCCAATCCTGTGGGAGTTCCAGGGCAGTGCTGGYAGCAGGAGCTTGCCCTGTATCCTGCATACCCCTCCCTGTGCCCCAGACCTCCCAACAGCCTCTTGAGGTGACTCGTGGGGGGAATCAGAYGGTTTCAGTTGTAGGGACTGCTCCTGAGAGGGGCTGGTGGCTGYTCCCTCCCTCAGATGGTGTCCCAGGCCATTCCCCTGAAGGAGCTGCTCAAGATGCGCACCCTGAAGCCCATCTCCAGCGAGAGCCTTCCCGGCCTGGAGCTCAGCTACGGCTCCCCTGCCMGCCCCAGGACCATGTGGGTGGAACTGCCACAGGTGAGATCCTGCAGCTTCCCCCCTGCCCCTCACAGATCACCCTCCCCTGCCCAGAGGAGCCTCTGCCCCGCAAAGGAAGGGGGCACTGCATCCCCCAGGCTCCAAAGGGCAGCTTGCTCCCAGCACATGGCTGATATTTAACTATGGAAAGTGATTTAGGGGGATATTTAATCAGGGSAAGCAGCAAAGAATGACTGATGCTGGTTTGTGTTTGGACAGGCCAAAGAACTCTACCACACCATTGTTGTCATCCTGGATAAAACAGAGCTGCACTCGTAGAGCCTGAGAGGAGAGTGACCAAGGAAAACAGCACTGCTTCCCTTTCTSTGAACTTGGTCAGTGCTCCCTGACCTGTCTGTGGGAGGGAACTCTTCCAGGAGACACYCTGACCTCGGCCAGCTGCTTTCTAAGAATGCCACCGCAGTGTTTGCTGATGGAGTGACCATAACCCTGGTGACCTGCCATTCAGGCCCCAAGTGCTTCCCTGAAGCAMTCCACGCTGTGGCTAAACAAACCCCAAGGGCCTCTCCACACCACAGCCCGCACCAACAATGAGCAGCTGACCCAGGGCAAGCACTTGCCTTCGAGCTTTGCACTGTGCAACTCCGCCTTTCTGTTTGGAATTCATTATCATAGGCAAAGCCTGGTGCTTGCTAGAGATTTGTGTATCCCACTGCCCAGCTGAGGCTGTGCAATGCCTGCACTGGCTGCTGGTGCCTTCCAGGAGCCAGATCTGTCTCTGAAYTGATATGCAGAGGTCCTGTGGCAGGACTTGTGAAGCAGGATTTTTGTACAAAGAATCTCAATGGAAAAGCAGATCAGTGTTAATAATACAATTAACACRTATGCTGGGGCACAGATAGAGCTGCAGTGGTAAGGAAGTTTATTGTTAATTAATTTCTCACTGACATAATTATATGCATATGCTTCCCTCTACTATAAAGAAGTCAGTCATGGCCATGCAGCTGTSAGATGGCTCCATGCCCATGGAGGAAGCATCTTCAAACAGAACTTGTATTATACTGAACTGTTTTGAGTTGTACAAAAATGTTTAATTTATTTTTATGGCCACGGCTCTCCTACTGCCCTTTAGGAAATTGCAATAAAATAATGACAGAGATGTTTTGAAGGTCTGATATGATACATCTTACATMTAACCTGGGAAAACTTAACTGCAGGTAATGGGCAAAATTTGAGGAAAATGTTGTCCCTGTTGGCAGGGAAGAGGGACAGATCTGAGGGTGCTCAACGCAAGCCCTGATGCACAGTTAGACTCTTTCCTGGTGAGCTGCTCCCAGCAGGAACTACAGCAAATTCCCTGGCAGGTGCTCCTTAATGTACCTCAGACCAGTCTGTGACTGAGCGGTAAGAAAAAGCCTCCAGGAACAATCCACAGCAGTTGTAACATTGCTTTATTGTCAGTTCTGCATAAACCTTYCAGAACATTTACAAAAATACATTTGTGGAGTACAGTGACCCAAACCCCTGGACAGCCTCTGAGGTTCTTTTGGCAGCACTAGAGCCTGAAGCCASCAGCCTCTGCAGGTATGGAAYAGAGGCAGAACYAAACAAAAACCCAACAGGAAGGACTTGTGCCAGGGAATCAGGGTCAGGTTCCATATAAACATAGCAGCAGAGGCACCACAGTGTCAGTTTGAGGATCACAGCAGAACCGTACCCAGCTGTAACAGCAGCATTGCCCCCTGTACTGCAGAGASTACAGGGTACAAATATGGCTTTAGGGGTTACAGGCAAATGCTGGAAGGGTTGCAGAGGTTAATACTGAAAGAGTATCACCACTTAAATTAAAGGGCAGACAGAACCAGACAAAGTTAAAAAAGTTCACATTAAAAGAAAAAGAATGTGAGTTTCTCCTCCTCTAGAAAGCAGGCACTGCCTGCACGGGAAGAACAAAACACTCCCCTCCTGCCCTTCAAAGGAAAGTTTTCCATCCAGGAACTCAATCACTGAGTTTGTCACTGGCAGCCCTGAGCACAGCATGAGAGCTTATAGCATAAGGCTTCTATTGGTGACACTGAAATTARAAACAAGAGCTAAGGGACAGGGGAGCAAGGAGAGGAGCCATCTAGGAAGCAAGGTGCCATCCCAAAGCAGAGTCCTACCCGCAAAGTCTGAGTCCTGCCCAGGCTGCTGCAGGGAGTAGAGGTTGGAGACAGTGCAGAACATCCAAGGCAGCAGCCCCTAACAAACACAGCAGCTACARCTTTACACCTCTTGGTCCTTGAGGGCTTCAGTGCCCCAGTTATTGGGGAAACTCGCCGTGAGTTCACAGGAACTGGTTCCCTGGGAGTGTGTGTCACTAAGGACAGAAGTGAGCAAAAATGCAGTGGGGAAAAGAAAAGTAAATCTCATTTCTGCAGTCTCATGAAATCKTCCATGGCTGAGCTCTTCCAGATCCCCTGGTGGTGCTGCTGGGGAAGGAAGAGTCAACAAACAGCAGGGATCAGCTCCCAGAGCTCTGCAGCTCCTCCCAGTCTGCCTCACTCTCACACCTGAGCCTTGTTTTGAAAAACTCCTTGATGAGTCTCTGTGCTTCCTCCTTCACTGCAAGAGAGGAAACACCATCTTTGAATTGATACTTAAGACATCTGCCCCCTCTAAAGCCATCAATCCATCTGGCATTGAAATAACCCCAGACTCACCTGTCCTGCGGGCAGGGCTCTGCTCCTGGGTCAGTAAATGGGACAGGTGCCTGGCAAAGCCCTTGAACAGATCCTGCASAATTGGGGAAGGCAAAGAGCAGAAAGCAGCCCTCAGTCACCTGCTCAGACTGTTTCCATGTTTGTCCTGCCCTTAGCACAGGCTGGCTGTAGCACAAACCATTCCTATGCTGAGACTCCAGGGGTGTTGCACACCTGCAGCCACACCCAGCCCTGCAGTGCTGGAGAAGCCCAGGCACACAGATCCTGCCCTGCAGGGCACAGCGAGGAAACCACACCAGCACTGAACCTCAGCTGCTGCTGCTCCACAGGTGGGAGTTAGAAACGTGCCAGGGTTGAATGGGAAAATACGAACAATCACAAATAAGTGTGGAACCAACACACACAAAACCTTTTGTGGGAGAGGGGAGTTGCTGCACCTGGAGTCACTAAAACAGCACATATGTGCAAAACACAACTYGGAAATGAAATGTGGGATCCAGACCATCTCCCCATCCCCCAGAGAGCCCCAGATCCCTAGGGAGATGGAGTCTCCTTCTGCCACAGGGGCCTTGAGCTGTGCCTACCTTGGAAGCAAATTTGCCCCCCTTGTAGAACGGGGTCAAATACTTGACAACRATGTCTGCAGTCTCTTTGAGGGACATGCCTTTGGTCACTGGCTGTATGGTCTTGCTGCTTCCYCCTTCAKSACACTGTGCTAAGTTKGAGTCAAAAGTCACCTTCTTCTTTRTTGGACCAACACTTTTGCCCTCTGGCTGGGACAGAATTGAAGGTTTTGCCGCTGCCCGGAGCCGCTTTTTTGCGGGACTTTCCGTATCCTGGAGAGGGGACAGAAGGAAACCAAACCCACCAATTCCCATGACAGCACCACACTTCCAAGCAGCCACCATCTTCCAAGAACACAAATCTCTGCAGCATCCTGTTGCCTGTACTTCACTGAAGGCCAAGTAGGAATTTTTGCAACCCCTTTTGCTGTACAGACACAATTTCCCATGCAAAAGGATTTTAAGAAAGACCCTTTCAGGAATACCACATTTAGAATTACCCCATACTACTATTAGGGCAGCCAATTGCTAGACTGTCCTACAGAGGAAAAACTGACTGGAGAAGATTTCTCAGGATGTCTGCTGAGAATACACCCCTGGCAGAATCAGGAGAGCCACACTCCTGCTCAGTTTGAAAGAGAAAGGRGACTGCAGTGTTGCAGACACAGCTGCCAGGCTGCCTCAGCTGCCAAATGCAGAAGCAGAGACTGAATGGCAAGGCAGCCTGTGAGCAGGGGTCACCTCCCAATGGTCCTGTGTGTCCTTGGCCTGTGCTTGTCCCCTTGCCTTGAGAAAGCAGCTCCCTAATTATAGTTAGTGACAGATCTCAGGGGGTGGAGACTCATTCCAGGCAAGTCACCAGCAAGGGCACAGTCACATGAGCTGCACAGAGGAGGAAACAAAGAAGTGGAGGGGTAACTCTGCACTGCAGCCTAAGGTGCTGGCACAGCCCAGGAATGCAACACAACTGGGGCTCTCCTCTCTGCTGCTACTGCAGCTGGGCCCTCCCAGATAAATAACACTCTCAGAACAGGAGTGTCACTCCCAGAGAGAAATCTGGCACAAGACAAACAGAAGAAAGAGAGGAAATCAGCATTCATTGAAGTCTTACCTCATCTGATCCCGGTCGCTTCCCACTCTCACCCTCCCCACAAACAGGAAGCTCAGTTTCTGCAACATTTTCAGCAACCCTAGTGGGAAAAGTGGAGAGAAGGCCAAKTGTGATCATTCCACAGTGAAAATATTACTGCTTTCACTGTCACTGAYCATGGTAAAGCCAGAGTCTCTCCCCCACTCAGAGATCTCATACAGATTCCCAGTTTCCAGGYTGAGGCTGGTGGGGCTCTGTGCAACACAAGGAGCAGGGAAACAGAGATTTTACCTGGACTTCACATCAGTTTCTTCCTGAAGGAATTCAGCTTCAGCAGCCTGCTGGGTCTTAAAACCCTCCCCTCTCTCAGTCAGTGTTACTTTTGTTTCTCTCAGTTCTTTATTCTCTGCCTGGCACTGTCCAGTCAGATCTCCAGAGCCATTTTTGCTTTCCTGAGGTGTTGGTTTCTCTCGACACACACTTTGAGAAGAAACCTGAGGTAGTGTGCTTGCAGAACAGTCACCTCCCTTTGTTAAAATGCAGCTTTGGGCTTGAGAGCCACTTTTGGGGAGGGAGAAGAATTTAGAAATATCCTGTGATTCCTTTTTAGCCGCTTCTGCAAGCATTTGCTGCTTCTTGCTAMGTTTGGATTTCTTAGAAGGGCTCTCCCCAAGGGCAGTTTTTGTGTCTGGACTGGGCTGCTGCCTCTTCTTTTCTGGGTGTAGTTCTACCCCTGCACTCTCACCCACTGCTTTGGTTGCTGTTTCTTTTTTCTGGAGAACAGGGTTCCTGGTGTCCAGTCCCAGACTACAGCTGCTGCTGTCTTGCCCATTTGGACAGTCTTTTTTGACAGGCTTTGCATCACTCTCCTCCTGGGTCTTCAGCAGTTCTGAAGCTGTCTGGAACAAGTKGGAGTTCTTTGGAAATCCCGCTCCCACACGCTTGGGTTTGAACTGGGGAGACAGGAAGAAGAYGAAATTTTGGATGTGAGATCCCTGYGTGCAAAAYTTTGAAAGGAGCTGAATTTCTGCATACAATACACCAGCATGGGCAGCTGTAAGCTGGGGGAGGCTCTAAATCTGACTTATTAACAACTGAGACAGGAGGGGAATGGATTAGGTTAAAGTTCTAGGCCAGCAATAAGAAAACAAGGCAGCAGCCTCAGCTGAAAAATGAGAAAGAACTTATTTAAACTGTGGCCTGCACACAGATTATATTCACTAATAACATTCCTGGCAGACAGGAAAAAGCAATTACATAGAAATGTGTAGTTTTGGCCACAGAAAGGACACAAGATAAATTTATAAAAAAGCAGACAGACAAAACACATCATTCCCTCCTGTCTATCCCACCAGCACTCACTCACCGAGGGAACCTGGGATGCAGGGACAAAGTCCTCTTCTGCTGGAGACACAGATTTTGTTTCCAAACTGCTGCTACCACCAGTTCCAGACCCAAAGACTGAGAACAACTCCCCCTGTTTGGAGGCTTTATTGATTTCTGCTATCTGAAAAGAGAACAAAAATATTCTCTAATGGCCAGAAATYTTTATGCATTCCTGCTTTTTCATATATTACACACATAGTGGCAAAACAAATGTCTGTCCTGGASAGGCACCTGCCTCAAGGACAGAAACATCTTCAGAGGGATTGATGGCAACCAGGTAACCTAAAGCAAGGCTTCTTTGGTGTCAGCACAGGAATCCTGAGGAATTCCCAAATCCCTCTATTGCTAGAACAGATCTGGATAAGGTCGCACTTTTTTCAGAGCCTGTAAAGCCAACAAAGATGTGAACCCAAGGTGATTCTGGGCCCTCCTGGACACAAAATCAAGAAGA